TGAACATGAGGAAGAACTTCTTCCCTCTGAGGGTGACGGAGCCCTGGCCCAGGCTGCCCAGGGAGGTGGTGGAGTCTCCTTCTCTGAAGATACTCAAACCCCGCCTGGACAAGGTCCTGTGCAGCTTGCTGTAGGTGACCCTGCTTCGGCAGGGGGTTGGACTGGATGACCCACAGAGGTCCCTTCCAACCCCGACCATTCTGTGGTTCTGTGATTCTGTGGAAGCTCCAGCCCCGTGACGAGCCCCCGAAGCTGCAGTGAACGCCTGCTTTCAGAGGGGATCAGATTTTCCACTCCTGTCTATCAGTGCGGAAACAGCAAAGCCAACGCTGAATACCAGTTCCCAAGACTGGCTCGTACTTTCTATGATATCTGGAACACAAAACGAATCAACACACTACTCTGAAGTTTTCACACAGAGATAAAGGATCAGATGGCAACAGCGTTTTGTATTTACATCCCGCAGCAGTAACAACCCGAAACCCCCTTCCAACAGCACTTCTGGATTACATAAGGCAGCAAATTGTATAATGATGTTGTGGCAGAAGGAAGGCTAAATTTAGCATCACGGCTGAGAAGGTAAAGGGGAGAAATCAGGGAAAAAAACGATCAACAGGCACAATGCCAAAGGGCTGCTCAAGATGGCAGCACTTCCGAGAAGATGCTCTGCACCGCTCCTGCTGAGGTCCTCAGTTCTGTGGCCAGGAGAGCGGCCAAACGGGGCAGAGAGGGGACTGGCAGGGGACAGAAATACGAGCCACAGCCAAATGCAGACAGACCAGAATCACGTTCATTTATGCCGCAAGAGTTTCGCAAGACATGACGAGCCCTGCTACCCGCCTCCCTACCGCTGGGAACACCAGCACTGGGAGTCTGGCACTCCAATCCGGGTTTTTTTCTCTATCAGCATTCAGAGGAGCTGGGAAACCAAACCCAGACCTGCCTCCAAAGCCACCATGCAGGTTCCCATCCCTCTCCGAGTCTTGGCTCTGGGGGAAACCCATCTCGCTGGGGCTGGAGACGCACAGCCCAGCTGTCGGGACAGGCACGGGCTGACAAGGGGGAAGAGCAGCCTAGGACCTGCACAGCTGCCACTGGGAGACCAACAGATGAGCAGAGCCTGCTAGACAGCACCGATTTGGAGCCCAACATCTAACCCAAACAATTGTCTGCGTTTTAAAAATGCTCTAAAGGAAATCCATTCCTTCCTGGAGAAGCCCGAGCTGCTCCCACTCAGCTCATGCACAAACTGGAGGCTGAGCCTATGTCTCTGGAGCCACACGCTGCTACTCCAACACACGCTCACCTTCCTGTTACTCCCTGTGCACACAAATGAGGGCTAGAAAATCAGCAACCTTCGAAAAGTCACCTTCTGGTGACACAGAGCCCACCGAGCGCTGAAAGGAGAGACCAAACTTCTCGTGTACGGCATCAGCACAACCACTGGAGCATCTACTGCTCCGGGTCCCAGATGCTTTTATCCCACTCCTGCTGCATGAGTCGGCCGGAGCCCCAGCCTGGAGCACAATTACACAGCACCTTGCAGATGCTGGTGTTGCTAATAGGTGTGAGTAATTCAGCAGGCTCGTATTAGCACGATCAGGCATATCCCTGGTTGAAATGATAATCACACGGATGTCACTTCATCGAGCTCAGGAGCTTGGCGAATCTCTCTACAAGGCTGGGTGTCTAGACAAGCAGCCACGCTGAATACCAATTTCATTCTGAGGCAAAAGAAGAGGGGACCTGGAAAGCCCTACCCTCTCACTTCCCCCGGGCAGTTCTCTCTATATTACTTTTTGCATCCAACCAAAAAGGCTGGTGAGCAAGCTGACCCCCTTCCCACACCATGGCCCCCAGCAAAGCCTTACCCTTCCTCTCTTCTTCCTCTCTTCAATCCTCTTCTGCAGCCTGATGCTTTGCTGAAACTCATCACCTCTATTTGCCACCAGAAAACTGAGGCACGGGGACTGGCAGGGAGGGACATCGGCAGCAAGGAGAGACCAGGGCTGGCCAGGTGAGGGAGGCTGAGCTACCACTCGCCTTCGTGTCTCTGCAGGCTCCCTCCTTCTGCCTCTCCAGTGGTCAGTTGGGTCTTTTAGAGTCGTTCCACTGCATAAGCCTTGCCCTGATACAAAAGTTAGCAATAATACAGCGCTTCTGGGCCAGATGTGGGTAGCTAAGAAGTTCCTTAAGCCACCAAGAAGAATAAAAACATGTAACCCTCTTCACCTGCAGATGGTCGGGCTACAGCATGAAGAAGAATCAGGCAGGGAGCGCCCACTGGGGCTGTGACCTCTGCGGCAGCGAGCGGGCGGGCGCCGGGGCCCTGCACCCATGGCAGGGTCCCTCCTTCCCCACGAATCCTGCGTCCTTCAGCTGAACGTGGTACTCGTAAACTTTAATTTACAGAGCCCTGCACGCAGCAGAGAAGCTTGATTCTTGGGGTGGCAATAAACTTGCCATCTGCTCTAAAGAGCACTTCTGAGGCTCAGATTGTGGGCACTGCAATCCACCTGAATCAGAGACGATGAACGAGAGTAGCTGCTCCAGGGCAAAGCAAACCAGCATCTGGCTTGGAGAGACCTACGGAGAGCGTGGTCCAGGCAAAAAGGAGCACTTACGGGAGTTCGGGGGTACAGAAAATCTGTCTGCTGGAAGATGATGTGCTAGGGAAAAGGACAGAGGCTATGAAAGGAGATCTGCAGCTGGGATTCCAAAAACAAAGCAGCTTAAAAATAGGCAGCAGAGACAGAAAAGGCATATTAGATCATCTTGTGTCCTCCATTGTGCCAACGCAAGATTGTTCCCCGCAGAATATTCTCTGCTGCTTCCATAAATGTCAGCGAGGACAGAGCACGTAGTAAAGATTATTCAGAGGGGATAGGGAAGGGGAAGAGGATTATGTGCTGGCAGAAAGGAGCTATGGGAAATGTCATTTGTTAACGAGACCATGTGTTTTCGGGCATCCCAGCTCCCCTCCTCCTGACGCAGCCGATTGTGTGAGCCATTCCTGCAGCATCCTGGGTCGAGCTCCCAAGCCTCTGCCACGCGGTCCTGGCCACCAGAACGGATGAGAAATTGAGTACAGCCCAAACCCAAAGGCTGCCAGCTGGCTTTGAGACCAACGTGAGGGGCAGAAAAAAAAAGGATGTTGGGGTTGATGTAGGTGAAGCGGGCGAGAAGCGAGGAGCCGGCCCTGGCTCCCGGCTGCTGGAGGCCCGGGGGGGCTGCTGGAGGCCAGGGGAGGGAGCTGCTCTGCCGCGAATCCTCCTGCTGCACTCGCTGCCGCCCACCCACCTCCTGCACCCACCTCGGGGCCCTGGGTGACAATTCGGGTTCCTGACATGAACAGGGTGAAACAGGGAGAGGAGGGGACTTTCCCAAAGGGGCTATTTCAGCCTCAGGACCTAACGCGACCAGTGAGCTCTCCTCACTGAACAGAGACAGGGACATCCAGAAGCAAGGTCCTGACCGAGCTGCTCGCGGTGTGGTCAGTGGGGACAAGCACACCCCTCCAGAGGTGGCACTGGAGCAGGAGCCTACCTGAAATGCTACGGATTGGCCCCCAAATTCTTTCTCCCTTGGCAACTGCCATGGACTAGCACCACAGGCTGTGCCCCCGGAGCTCCCCACGTCAGCTGAGCCAGAACGGTGCGGGGTGGGTTTAGTGCTTCTCATGCAGCTCCCAGGGGAAATCCCCTTCCCACACCCCTCCATCCCAAGGCGCAGACCTGGGGTGCTCAGTAACACCCCAGGAGCCCCTCCCAGCCCCCCAATTCCAGGCCAGGCAGTGCCAAGCCAGGGCCGGTCTGGGGCTGACTCCCACCCTGGTGGCCTGGGCACCGGTGCTCAGAGACTCGTTTCTGCTTTATATCATCGCTGCCAGGGGATGCTTCATGCAAGTACATCCTCTCCCAACCCCCCCACGCATCCTCTCTTGTCTCCTCCCTGCCTCCGTGTTTAAAATCCACTCCCCACACACCGTTATACCTCTTGGAGGTAGATATCCATTTTGGAGCCGACCATGAGGCGCAGGTGGCATTCCAGGGCACCAGAGCAGTAAAGACTTAGCAGCATTTGTACCTATTCTTGATTACATGATTTTTCCTTTAAAAAGACGCAGTCCAACAGTGAAATTCCTTACGCTGGGTGAAGGATTCGGGAGGCACAGTTGCCATGACAGCCCCTCGCGCCTGCCGGTCTTGCTGAGCCGTTCGTCTGCTCGTTCCAGCACTCGGCGTTTGCCCCAGTCCACGTTATCGCAGAGGCTAAATCACGATCTGAGCTTGTGCTCAGCTGCCCAGCTCGCCCTTGCCAACAGCACTGGCTAAGAGGGGCTTGGTTTACTGCTTTCCACCCACCTTTGAGTAAATAGAGCCTTGAGAGGGCTCCCCACGGGTGTCAGCACCCTCAGCACACACCCACCCGTCAGCGGCAGGACTGCCTGCACCCCTGTGCAACTGCCAAAGAGACGAAGCGATTCGGGAACACAGAAGGGATATTTTTGAGGCTCTTTGGTACCTCCCACACTGAGTAATCCTGCTCTTCCTTACGGCTTGGACTGGGCAACAGCGCAGACACCGCAGTGAGATTTTGCCTGTGCTGTCTCCGCTCTCTGGCTAGTTTCCAGGGAAGTCAATGCAATATTAATCCCCAGTGCTCGGTCCCCTTGGAACATGGATGAATGTTCAAAGCCACTGAAAGGCTTCATCAGAATAAAGATGGGCATTTTATCAACACAAAGGAACAGGGATGATTGGCGGATTGAGAAAAAGGTGCAATCAGAAAGTGAACGTAGTGAGGGAGACAAAACAGCGCAGAAGCAAAGTCCCCTGGGGCACACTGCCCTGTCCTCCCCTCCACTCCCACGCCTGGAAGGAGCCCGGTGTGAAGCATGGTATGTCATAAAGATTATGGTTAATTAGGAGGACATGTGGAAAGAACAACTGAACACCTAAATCTTATATGAAGCCAACAGAAACTGGGCACCATCTGAATCCTAAAAAAATCCTCATCCCCCACTGACACACGCAGACCTAAGACAGCACTTCCAGAAACACCAAAGAAAATTCCAGCCACTGAAACTCAGCGGGATCCGTGCTCCTGCCAGCCTTTCCAGATTCTTCCCAGCAATAGCCCTTAACGGAGGCTGGCCTGTGTCTTTCCTGAGAGTTCAGACACTTCTACAGCCGTAGCCTTTGCACAGATGCTTTTGTTCTCCCCCATCCTGAGTGTTCCCAAAGAGTTACTCCCTTCCCTCCTTGCTCATCTATTCCCAAGGCCTTGGATACAAGACGAGCGTCCCTTGCTGCCCACCTGCAGCTCAAAGCCTGCTCTTGATACAGAATTGGGGGAATTACAACAGGTTTTTATCTTTACTGCATTTTCACCCGTCCTTCCGAGGACGCCCAGACCCTCGTAACAACGCGTTTGCCTGCTCTCACCTTGGCACAGCGGGATCGCTTCGCTCCAGTGGAAGTAGCCCTGTGGGTGCTGGGTGCAGGTGGAGGTGCTGTGCCCGACGAGACGGTAGCCCGTGTCACAGCCGAAGCGGACCGTGCTGCCGGGGTGCAGACCCGTCTGGCTGAGAATCAGCCCGTGGGCTGGCGGCTGTGGGAGGCTACAGTAAGGAGCTGGGGAGAAGGGCAGAGGAAAACAAATCAGTCCCTGGATGGGCTGTACTGAGATAAACTCCCTTCCCGTTCTCAGCAATTACACGGGGCTTGCCACAACCTAAGGCTGTGCAAGAAATACAGAACTTGTGATGGATAAATACAAAGTCAAAGGGGGAAAGCATGCAGGGCGATTCTCCAAGTTTCACTCAGCCCTAGAAATAGAGTAATTTCTGATAATTAAATATTACTTAATTCATTTATTGAGTAATTACTTGCTTATGACATACTGGCAAGTTCTCAACCCAGTTTTGTAACTCCCGTTAATTAAGATTTGTTAAGTTCCCAAACACAGTAATTCATTTTAAGGAATTCTCAGCAAACATTCGGTATCCACCAGCAGCCTCGTGCTGCACGAGCAACCGAGACTCCCCGTCCCGGCCCTGCGCGCGCAGCGGCAGAACGCCTGAGCAGGAGCGCGACGTCGTTCGAACATTCGCCGCGAATGCTGCAACACCGTCAGTCGCGGGGAAGCTGTGCCTCACGCACCAAGCAGCTCCTGCCCCGAGTTCTGGTTTGGGATGTTAATCTTCAAACATCTCCAAATGGTCTCATTGCCAGGACACAATAGCCTAGAAGCACACCAGTCTCCACCGTGGTGGGTAACCCCCGGGATGCGTTTCACTCATCCAGAGCCGCGTCATCTACAGTTGTATGTTCTGGTTCTGATTCTTAAGAGTGGTTGAGAAACCAGCCAAAGCTTCAAGGCTTCTGCTGGAAACAAACCTGCCTTCCCCAGCCCCACCAGCTCTGAACGAGCCCAGCTTTTTGCGCCTTCTCAGGCCTTGGCAGCTCCTGCCGCCGCAGATGGCCTATGCCCCTCCGCAGCAATTTCATGGAGATCCTTGGCTGGAGAGATGGCCACGGTCTTGGCAAAGGCATCGAGTCTCTGCTGCACGCTTACCAGAGTAGCGGATTCTGAAGCCTTTTCTGTTGTAGGCATGATCAGAGGACCAGCGGAGATAGACCCTGTTCCCGCTGCTGGTGACGGTCAGAGGGGCAGAGTAGTTCCCGCTCAGCGACAGGAGCAGCGGACTCTGGCCAGAGGGACCTGCGAGGACAGAGGGAATGAGGAAGAGTCAGGGCTGAGATGCAAACACTCGCTCGGGGGCTGTATGTGCCCGGGGGTGCTTTTGCAGAAGGAATGGGCATATTGTGGAGCTGTAGCACGGGAGCTTCCACCACGAGTCCAGGAACGGCAGCTCGTGCTCAGGGGTTTTTGTGAACATGAGTCCCCGTGCAGACACCTGGCTCCTGGGAAATCAACAGCAAATAAAGCTCAGTTGATCGCAGCAAGCCCAGGATTTCGCTCCAGGCAGCATGCCTTCGGCTCGAGACCCGATGGGAAACCACAGGAGCATCAGCACAGCACTTGTATTCTGTATTCGGTTACAAAGCTGCATCATTGTGAATTCCGACAGATCCCCCTTCAGTGCATGAGAGCTCACAGGTCTAGAACATCTGGTATCCTTGGACTTCAGGGACAAGAAGTCTCTCCTCCTCAGCTCACCCCTTCCCAGCAACCTACGCTACAATTTCTCCCCGGAGCTTGCCAAATCCCGCCTCTCGGAAAAATAGAGTCCTCCAAAAATCAAATCATTGATATTTTCTTATCCAGAGAATCAATGAGTCTTAGGAGGAGCTTTAAGTCCAGCGGAAGGTTATAGGCGTCGTGGTGGAAGGCTCTCCCCAGAGCGCTCTGGGAACAGAGCTTAACAACTAACGGACCTCTGCCATTCCTTTCCTTTCCCCTCAGCTGCTCTGCACGCCAAACTGGCGACTCTCTTACCGTCAAAGATTTCAAACTCATCATATTGCTTCTCGCTCAGGAAGTACTCGACGGTGAGGGAGATGTTATACCCAGGCTCCACCTTCACCACCCAAGAGCAGGTCTGAAAGTGAGGGTAACTTCCCAGGGAGCTCTGGCTGAGGATCACACCGGTGGAGTCCGTCATAACCTCGTTCATCGGACAGTGCACTGCAGGGGACGCGAAGCAGAGACAACAGGAAATGCCTTTTCCTATTTTGCAGGGGAAGGATGGACACACAAGATACCACGGCCACGAAGGGCTGCCCTGCTGAGCCACCACCCCACCTGCATACACCCACTGCACAGGCTGACCCTCGGGGCTCACGGAGAACCCCCAGACCCCGATGCAGCCTCCGAATGAAGCATGCTGCGCTTCCACAGATCCAAGCAATTGCCAAATTTAAAGGAAGGGGCAAGAAGCAACAATCCAACCAAACCACTTCAACGTTCCTTGCATCATTTCACATCTTGTTCAGAATGCACGGCACTGCAACCGAACAACTCTTCTCAAGCTGCGAAGCACTCCCCAGGAATCCCTGGAGACTTTCTCACCTGGGCTAGAACAAGGTGTGGAACTACAGCCTTATCCCAGGTCACCCACGGAGCTGGTAACTGGGACATAAGAACTCCAGTTCCTTTCTCTAATCACTACAGCCCATTCAGCTTCTGGAAATACTAAATACAGCTAAAAGCACTAAATAAAAAGGTCAGCAAAACCACCCCAGAAGAGGAGGCAAACACACAAAGCGAGCAAAAAGCATAAAAAGAAAGGGATCTTTATTTATCCATAATTGTCACTAAAACCCAGGGCAAACACTGTACTTGTATTAACAGAAAACAGCCAGAACTATCCAGAAAGAACAGTGTATTCTTTCCAAATCCTTAATCCCATCAGTGATTTTTTGACCTCCATAAATTGCTGGCCAGATGTAATTTAAGCAGTCCCTTTACCCCCAGGCTAACAACCATCAGTAAATAATTGAATGACCTCCCTTTTTCTCCTTCAGTTCATGCTATTTCAGAGAGAATAAAGCTATAGAAAAATATCCCATTATATGGTAAGAATGTTCAGATAGGAGGGAATGAAGGACATGAAATAATCACGGCTGGAGCGAACAAAAGGACCAGCAGGAACCCAGAGGACAGGTAAGGTAACATGGCAGCATGGGAACATCTCTGGGAGCCCTCCCGAGCGGCAGCGAGGTGTCCAGCGCAGCGTGCTCGGGGCTTTCATTTTCCTCCCATGTAACACAATCTGGGGCACTAATAGAGAAGCTGTTCCTCGCCGGGCTGCCTTGCCCGGTGA